GAGAAGGACCCGCCGTCTCCGTGACAACCGGGCGGTCTACGCGGTGCCTGATTGGAAGTGACTTCCCAGAACTCGCCGTGCTGCCCTTTTGTTCTGCTGCTGCTACTACGCGCTGCCATGGAGTCGACGCCGACTCGTAGCGAGCCTGTGGGGCAGGCTAGAACTGCCTCTGCGTTTCCGAAACTAACTGTTTACGGGAGTACAAAGCCCGGTCATGCTCCCGCAGAGCGGCAGGTGGCTTCGAACTGCCGACCTCACCGATCGCAGCCCAAGGCGCCTGTTTGTTTTTTTATTAGGGAAGGATAATTATTATTACCACCCTGCACTTACGTGAAGGTACTCTCCTGATGTACTATGTTAAAAATTGAGTTGCTTTCACACACACACACACACACAAAAATCTGAGTTGCTTAACCACAAAATCACCAGCTGCTCCGTGGGACGAGGCAAGCTTTCTACTCCCATAAAGAGTTATGGCCTTGGTTATCCACAGGGGCAGTCCCTGCCCTAGTTGGGTCCTTTGAGTCGCAAGGGACTTCATAGCAGTGAGGGTTTGCGTCTGCTCCAGGAAAGAGTTAAAGTCTGTCCCCCTCAGTCTCCCCTGACTGCCTTGGTTGGAAGCCCCTGTACCAATCTCATTAGCCTTTCTATCTAAAATAATGTACGGGTCTCAGTCATGGTTCTGTTCCTACTGCTGTAGTCCCACCTGCAATAATGATGTATTGATCTACCACCAATCAAGAATTTGTGACAGATCCCCTTGTTCCTTGCCTTATTGGGAACCCTAGGACATCATTTTGACCCTGTGCTAATGACCGCCCTCATCTGGGTGATGTGCCTGTGCCTAACTCAGCACCACCAGGGTTTATATATCTATATATTGGTGGTGGTGGCCGTACGTGCTATCCAGTTGGTTCCAACCTTTAGCCACACTGTGAACATAGAGCGCACACATATGCACACATCCTGGGCAATTGTACCTGTGCCTGAGCCAATTGTTGGAGCCACTATGTTAATCCATCTCCTGGGGTCTTCCTCTTTTTCCCTGCCCCTTCATTTTACCACGCATGATGTCCTTCTCCAAGGACTGGTCTCTCCTGACATGCCCACAGTATGTAAGATGAAGTCTCGCCGTCCTTTCCTCTAAGGAGGAGGCTTGTCCTCCGGAGGCTCAAAGGGGTCCTACTGAAGGAAGAGCCGCTGAGAAAACCATCCTGCACTGACAGAGGGAAATGTGCTCTACCTGCTTCCTGATCCTGAGTTGTAGCCTGTTATTTCTCTGATAACTCACTGTAAATACAATCTGGGAGTTGTGTGTGACCATTGCAGCAAGTACTTGAACGCAGAAAAGAGAGAGTGCCATGGGAGGAATGGCCAATGTCAAAATTACTAAAAAGAGAGACCTCACCTCACGGAACCTGCTTTGGGCTGATCCTGGTCATTACATACTGGTGACCTTATAAGACAAGAGTGCAACTGCTTCGTAGAGTTTGAGGCTGGAATTCTTTATAGAAACAGACTGCTTCGTCTTTCTCCTGCAGAATGGCTCAAGAGTTCAAACTCTCAACCTTTCAGTGCACAGCTCAATACTTTATCCACTGCATTGCCAGAGTCTCCTCCCCTTGAAATTAAACAGGTTTCTGACACTGCTACTCCCACTCCTCCTCCTCCAACAGCGACTGTTATTGCCACTAAAAGCTTGCAAAGATAGCTAGCTACATCTTAATCCCCAAAACCTGTGAATGTTAGGTTGCATGGCAAGGGGCAATTAAGGTTGAAGATAAAATTCTTGATTAGTTGACCTTAAAGAGATTAATACTGGATGATCTGGGTGGGTCCAATGTAGTCATCTTGAGCGTGCAAGAAAGACAGACCTGGAAGCATTCTGAAAAATATTTGGCCATTGCTATCTTTGAAGATGGAAGATCATCAGGCAAAGAATGTAGACACCTTCTATTAGCTGGAAAACACAAGAAAGAGGATTCTTCTTAGAACCTCCTGAATGAACACATCTCTGCTGACCTTTGATTTTGTAACAACGAAATTAATTTAATAAAATCACAGATTATCAAAGACAAAAAAACATGAGGGCTCCTGTCAACTTGAGTGAAGGGGTGGAGCCTAACCTGTCAAACAGGTCATAGTCCATGATGTCTCTGTGTGGCATGGCCTTCTGAGGATTCTGGGAACTCCTACCTTCCTTCCTGGAGGCAGGACATACACCCTCTACTTCATCTTCCTGCTGACAAGACACATGGAGCCATGCTGATCCCAGCCAAAGCCTTGCAGCTGGAGGAGCCACTTGGAGACCCATGCCAGCACTATGATGCTTCCAGCACCACTGGATCCATAAGACTTTCCACCCACAGGCCTTGATCTTCCTGCATTTGGCATCATTGCATGTGTTGCGTGAGTCTGAAGAGGAATTTATAGACTGGTATTAGACATATGGGCTAATATCATACTTATGGACTTGATCTGGACTGGCCTGGGATTTTTTTTTAATATACAATTACTCTTTGATATAGAGCTTTCTTTTATACACATGAGTGTCTGGATTTGTTTCTCTAGGCAGCCCAGACTAAAACAACACATTAAATTTGTAAATATTATGCTGAATGACATATTAGTTTCTAAACACATAGATGGTAACTGCTTAATATATCACAACAATTAAAAATTATCATAGTAAAAAAGAACCCTAAAAATCAGTATTAGTGGGAGGGAGGGGGAAAAATGAGGAGCTGATATCAAGGGCTCAAGTAAAAAACAAATCTTTTGAGAATGATGATGGCAACAAATGTAAAAATGTGCTTGACATGATGTATGGATGTATGCATTGTGATAAAAATTGTACGAGCCCCCAATGAAATGATTTTTTTTTTAATCATTATTTGTGTACTACCATCTCTGGTTCTCATTCCCAAAGCTGGAAGCCATATTTCTATTATGGTGCAAATAGAATAATTTTTTTGTCCTCTCTCCTCTAGTCCATTTTCTTTTCCTAATTTTTTAAAATAATTTTATTGGGGGCTCATATAACTTATCACAATCCATATATACATCCATTGTGTCAAGCACATTTGTTCATTTGTTGCCATTTTCAAAACATTTTCTTTCTACTTGAGCCCTTCATATCAGCTCCTTATGCCCCACCCCCACCCCCCCACCCCCACCCCCGAGTCCATTTCTTTGGAGGTGTACTGAAACTCACTCCTAATTTTTCTCTTCCTTGCTGGGCCTGTCCTCAGGAACCCCCTGCAGGTTGCAAACAGTTGCAAAAAACGTTAACGCGCAGTTCCTGTTTCTATATAATTTTTTGAAGCCAGATTCATCAACAGAAACAAGGAACTCCAAAAAGGATCTTTACCAGAGAGAACTTGTAGAGGTGAAGACCAGAATCTCCCATCCCAAACTGCCTGGTTTCACATCTCAGCATTGCCACTAGCATTTTCTGTGACCTTGTCATTTTACTTGTCCTTCTTCACTGTCCTCATCTGTAAAATGAGTGGCTGAGGAAGAAGATATGGCAGTCTGAGTTTATAAAAATGTATGACCTAGGAAACTAGGAAGCAGACTTCCCTGTACTATAGGACCTGCTATGACTGGGTTATCTCAGAGTTGTAATGTAAAAAGATAATAAGAGCCTAGTACGTGGTCACTGCTTTTATGTAATCACTGTAGCCCAAGTTCCTTTGTTTACTGCAGGTGCTATGCATTACAGCAGTAGGATTGGAGCAAAGCTTATTAACAACCCACAATATGCAGATAACAACCTGGCTTGCTGAAAGTGAGGAGACTTGAGATACTTGCTGATGAAGTTCAAGAATTGCAGCTTTCAGCATGGATTAGAACTCAATGTAAAGATGACCACAATCCTAACGACTAATTGGTAACATCATGATAAATAGAGAAAAGATGGATGTAGTCAAAAATTTTGTCTTGCTTGGATCCACAATGACTGCTCATAGAAGCAAGAGTCAAGAGATCAAACAATGCATTGCATTGGGTAAATCTACCGCCAAGACCTCTTTAGTGTGTTGAAAAGCAAAAGTAAAGGAAGTTATCTTGAGGACTAAGGAAAGCCTGACCCAGCCATGGTATTTTTGTTCAGTCGCTTCATATGCATGTGAAAGTTGGACAATGAATAAGGAAGACCAAACAAGAATTGATGCATTTGAATTGTGGTGCTGGAGAAGAATATTGAAACTACAATGGACTGCTAAAAGGGCATACAAATTTGTCTTCGAAGAACAGCCAGAACGCTCCTTAGAGGCAAGGGTGTTGCTCCTCATGTACTTTACACATGCTGTCAGGAGAGATCAGTCCCTGGAGAAGGACTTCATGCTTGGTTAAGTAGAGGGGCAACTAAAGAGAGGAAGGTTCTCAACCAGATAGATTGACACAGTGATTGCAACAATGGGCTCAAGCCTAGGAACAATTATGAGACTGGTGCAGGTCCAGGCAGTGTTTCATTCTTTGGGGAACAGGGTCGCTATGAGTCGGAACTCACTCAAGGAAGCCTAACCAGCACCACCTTGGTTAGAGGCAAACAAGGAGAGTGTGGATGTCACCTGGAATTTTTAGGTGTCTGGAATGGGATCTACCTCGGTTCTTTTGCATTGCATGCTGAAAGAATTCACCTGAAGCACGTGGAGTGATCCAAGTGGATTTTTATGAAGAACAAGACAAGTTTCAGGTTTTTCCATCTCAAAAGGGTACATGCTATT